TACATTGTGGATACATTGTACAAAGAGATCTGTTGGGTACCTCAAGTACAAGGTTATTCTGATGGACCTGAGAAGCTTCCAATAATCCAGTGGATGATGACAGCTTATGTTTGGGAAGTGGATTAGCATTGAGATCAATGTGGATGGTAAGTGGATCTATTATGGATTGAGCTGTCTCCTCTTCTGCTGTCAAAGAGCAAGAAAATACCTCCAAAGACTGAAGAGTGCTGGTCAGAATTTTGTCCTTGGCTTTGGGACGGAAATTCAGTATTGCTGTGCTCTATAATAATTCATAAGTAAACAAAATAAAAAAATATGTCAAGTTTATTTACAGAGTACATTCTTTGCCTCGAATAAGAAGAAATGAAATATATTAATTTTAAACTTTGTACAAATAAAATACTTTTGTTAGTCTTACAAAAATTTTTATGTCTCATCAATCTAGACTACAAATCTAGACACTTTACAGAATGAACACATTCATTTTTTTTATCTACAGTGATAATAGAGTTACCTTTAGAATGACAGCATTAGTATCCCAGGTAGTACTTTCTTCCATTACAATGAACTGGGTGTCTGACACATTTAGCTTCAACTCAAATGGTACCTCAACCTACAACAGGTATATAAATAGGTGAGATATATTTCAACCTTTCAGATAATTACAAGGAAGATCAAAACAAGATTTTCATTAAATGATAATTAATCAATCAACAAATATATACATTCTCAGAACATATTTTCAAAAATCACATTAATTTTTTTCCTGCATCAACATCCTGTACGTGGTGCTATTTTACACATCTTCACAGTAATAAATGACATCTTTACCTCCTCTACAATAGGCCCTCTCTTTGTCATTATACCACTAGACTTACCTCCTCTACTATAGGCCTTCTCTTTGTCATTATACCACTAGACTTACCTCCTCTACTATAGGCCCTCTCTTTGTCATTATACCACTAGACTTACCTCCTCTACAATAGGCCCTCTCTTTGTCATTATACCACTAGATTTACCTCCTCTACAACAGGCCCTCTCTTTGTCATTATACCACTAGACTTACCTCCTCTACAATAGGTCCTCTCTTTGTCATTATACCACTAGACTTACCTCCTCTACAACAGGCCCTCTCTTTGTCATTATACCACTAGACTTACCTCCTCTACTATAGGCCCTCTCTTTGTAATTATACCACTAGACTTACCTCCTCTACTATAGGCCCTCTCTTTGTCATTATACCACTAGACTTACCTCCTCTACTATAGGCCCTCTCTTTGTCATTATACCACTAGACTTACCTCCTCTACTATAGGCCCTCTCTTTGTCATTATACCACTAGACTTACCTCCTCTACAATAGGCCCTCTCTTTGTCATTATACCACTAGACTTACCTCCTCTACAATAGGCCCTCTCTTTGTCATTATACCACTAGACTTACCTCCTCTACTATAGGCCCTCTCTTTGTCATTATACCACTAGACTTACCTCCTCTACTATAGGCCCTCTCTTTGTCATTATACCACTAGACTTACCTCCTCTACTATAGGCCCTCTCTTTGTCATTATACCACTAGACTTACTTCCTCTACTATAGGCCCTCTCTTTGTCATTATACCACTAGACTTACCTCCTCTACTATAGGCCCTCTCTTTGTCATTATACCACTAGACTTACCTCCTCTACTATAGGCCCTCTCTTTGTCATTATACCACTAGACACGGTCAGAGGACTTGTAGTTTTAGCAGAATCCCTGGAAGTCTGTCTGCTGACCTCAGGTGAACTCATCACTACATTGTCAGTAAGACTCTTTCTCTGCATTACAAAATATTTTACCTAACAAAACATGTTAATCTTCAACCAATCTGCAAAATCAATCAAATTTTTGTTAATTTTTCTTTTTTCCCGAGAGTAACACTTGGACATGGGGGTGGGTGGGTTAAATCTCTTCTAATTTTGTTGTGGTGCTATAACACACTGAAAATGGCAGAAAGAGTCGGTTTCTACAATCTAATTTTCACAACAGACATACCCATAATGAAAGGATCCTCCGGACTCTCCATGATGAAATCTCTGACTGAGAGAATCCAATGAAAGATACACATGACCTTCATGTTGTTGAGGATGACGGAGAACTTGTTAGACTCCTGTGTGGTCCGGTAATGCAGTTCTAACTGTTCAGCTTGAGATAACAAAGTTTGACTGTATATAAATGCATGTTCACTCAATAAAAGGGAAAGGGCTAAAATAGGCTTTGCCTGCTGCCCAATTCCATTCAATTTTTGGGAATAAAATTATGTATAAATAGTGATGGGAATCGGTAAGAATTTCATAATCGATAATTGGGTTACTGTAACTAACTAATTATCATTTATAATCGGACATTAACAAAGTCTGTCAATTTACTTTAATAAATGGAAAGAATTGGTGAATAACTACTTTCTGTTGTTGTCCAGCTGTAATTAGAATAATCTATCTGTGTCTAGGGACAAGCCCTACTCCGTAGGACAATATCAATTTAATGATAGAACATTCTATCTAGTCCAGCTGGTTCTTCGTTCATTTTGTAGAATCCAAAGTACGTCCATACCCGGGAATGAGGATTGTTAATAGGGTATGAATACAATGTCTGTTTGTCTGCGCCATTATGATACCATACACAAATAAGTTAACAGACAAGTCGCAGCTGGTATATCTGGCTTAAAAACTATTATGCTTGTAAAATAAAAAAAATAACCCGATTAATCGGAATAAAAATTTTGTAATCAAGCGCTTGGATTATGTCAACAATCGACTGATTTTCGATTATAATCGATGATTGGAACACCACTATGTATAAATACAAGAGGCCCAAGGGCCTTGAATCGCTCTTCTGATAAACTGTACAACCTATCACTTCTATTTGATGATTCTAATCCAAATAGTACCCCAAAAATATTAAATACAGCCATAAAATTTCAAAAGAAGGTCAGGGTGACCTACTTTTCAGTTGTCGTACTCCAAGGACCCAAGATGCATTAACTGACAAAGTTTGATGATTCTAAGCCAATTAGTTCCTGAAATATTTAATTAAAGCCATAAATTTTCAAAAGTAGGTCATGGTGACCTACTTTTCAGTCGACTTACTCCGAAGACCCAAGATGCATCAACTGACAAAGTTTGATGATTCTAAGCCAATTAGTACCTGAAATATTTAATTATAGTCATATAAATTGAAAAGAAGGTCATGGTGACCTACTTCTCAGTCGACCTACTGCGAGGACCCAAGATTCATCAACTGACAAATTTTTTATGATTCTTAACCAAATAGTACCCGAAAATATTAAATACAGCCATAAAATTTCAACACTAGGTCAGTGTGACCTATTTTTCAGTTGTCGTACTCCAAGGATCCAAGATGCATCAACTGACAAAGTTTGATGATTCTAAGCAAATTGGTTCCTGAAATATATAATTAAAGCCATAAATTTTCAAAAGTAGGTCATGGTGACTTACTTTTCAGTAGACTTACTCCGAAGACCCAAGATGCATCAACTGACAAAGTTTGATGATTCTAAGCCAATTAGTACCTGAAATATTTAATTATAGTCATATAAATTGAAAAGTAGGTCACGGTGACCTACTTTTCAGTCGACCTACTGCGATGACCCAAGATGCATCAACTTACAAAGTTTTATGATCATAGGCCTTAAAATGTCCAAATTATGCCTCTAAAACGCTTTGAAATGGAATGCCTGCAAAGTTCAAAAAGTAGGTCACTGTGACCTACTTTTTAATACATATGTTTTATGGCCCCAAGATGCATCATCTTGCAAGATTTCAAGATTCTAAACCTCTCAGTATTCAAATTATTGACCTTAATTGTTTTGTAAAAGATTAGCCATAAAATTCAAAAAGTAGGTCAAAGTGACCTACTTTTTAGTTGACGTACTTTGATGACCCAAGATACATCAACTGACAAAGTTTGATGATCATAGGCCTTAAAATTGTTCAAAATATGCCTCTAAATCATTTTGATAAAGAATGGCCGCAAAATTTCAAAAGTAGGTCACCGTGACCTACTTTTAAGTCAACATGATATGAGGTCCTTAGATGCATCAACTGACAAGATTTGATGATCCTAGTCCTTATAGTAAGCAAAATATCAACATTTTAATAAAATGTAATTTTTGGTCAACTTTGAAGTGACCTTGAGACCACGCCCTTTTCCCCAGGGTGACGCCTTGAACAATTTTTAATCTACAACATATCCTCATCCTTTTGTGTAAGTTTGGTGATAATCTGCCCAGTGGTTCTTGAGAAGAAGATTTTTAGCAACCAGTACTTTTGTTTCTATTTTCCTAATTATCTCCCCTTGTATAAGGGTCACAACCCTAGTTTTAGTACAAAAGGGAGCCCTTGGGCCAAGAATACCCTGTGACAAATTTGACAATAATTGGCCAAGGTGTTCTTGAGTTATGGCCCATATTCTAAAAAGTTTACGAACACCGCACACCACACAAATGGCCATAGCATTAGCTCTTTGAGCCTTTGGCTCAGAAGAGCTAAAAAAGAAAAAGTCCAATTTCAGCAATTTTAGAAGAATAAACAACACATGAAGTACTAACACTAAAATGAATGCACAATTGTGAAGATAAAATTAAAGGTTAAACTTTTCTCATACCGTATAAGTGGAAATTTTAGCAAGATGCAAATTTAGCAATTTAACCTTAAAAATTTGTATATCTTTTTAGCAGTAAGTAATTTTAGCGATTTTAAAATGCTCATTAAAGAAACTATCACAAATAATACATAATTAATTGTTAGCGAGATTTAATTTTAGCGATCTTACACTCTGTAGCACCCTCGCTAAAAATGCCAAAATTGAATCCTCGCTAAAAATTCTTCTTCTACGGTAGTCAATATCTCTTGTATTGGTAATAACATTCATGTGTCAAGATCAAAATCCCTATCAAATTAAGGATGTACAAGTAAAAGGAGCTGTTACATCAATGACAGGGTCCATGAGGTGGGACATCAGAGGATGTCTGAACTCAGGGAGTTTTTCTCCCAGGTTATGGTCCAGGATCCCTCTGACCAGTTTGTACTGAGCAATGTCCAGGGAACAGTGAACAGAGGATAGTACACCCTTGACCCTGAAGTCAGGAGCAGAGTGACTGATGTCCCCCTCAAGATTCCTCTACACCACCAGGGTCAGCTGAATCTTCTCCTTCAAGGGGTCCCCACCCTAAAATGGAGGAATTACCCAGTCAAAAGCAATATGAATTAATTCCAAAGTTAATCTATACAATCTATTTCTAACTTAATATTTAATTTTACAAATAATCATTTACATGATCATTTATGTTTTTTTTTAATATTTTTCAAAACAGCTGAGACTCATGAAATATTACAATATTACAGTTTCTTTCCACATTAGTTAAAATGCTAGTTCTGGAGTTTTCCAGAACACAGCACTATATGCCATTCAATGACACATATTTTCAGTACAAAACATAACATTTGACAGTTAAATTCTACCTGTTTTTGCACCAGAAAGGACTTGAACTCCAGATCCTGACCAGACCCATTGTAATCATGTTTGTTCACTTGCTCTGCAGAGTACAAGTTTATGTCCTTCAGATGAATATTCATGATGTCCAGTAAACAAAATATGGTCACCTTCAGACTTTGGTATCTTAGGACGATTCATGGAACTGGTGGATGGGGTCCTCTTAATTTTCCCTTCCTTCATGCTGTCATTTATATGCAACCTGTGTTGGGAGGTTAGGTTATTTGAACTGGAAAAGCAAGAGCTTGAATCAGGGAAGAATTCTGGATCCACGCTGCTGCCCTCTGGTGACTTAGGTGACCTTGGTGCACTCCCTGTGCCTGTTTCTGTTGGGTCATAAATATCACACTCATCACGGACTTCACTAACTGAGGACCTCTGGTCTTGGTCCAAGCCTCCATAAATACTCTGAAGCATGGGATTTGCCACAGCCCCCATTGGTGGGTTGTAATTGTTGAACAGACTCTGAGTCATCCCAGTGGCAGCAGAGGAACTGTCTATGGAATAGTCATTGGTTTCTGACAAAGCCAAAGAAGACATTGATTCACGTGACCGGGTACTCATCAAATCACTGTCGTCCTGGTCAAAGCTCAAGGTCCCTGGTTCTCTGTCGTAAATGAAGCAGTTATTTACTCTCAGCTTTCCTAGGTCAGCCACTAAGATGTCTGTAGTCTTAGAGCTGACGTGGTAGCAGAATGATTGGAGAGTCTGCATTGATGTCCTGTTTGATTCTAGATCCTCTGGTAGCCTTGTCTGTCACCTATAATAAACATAGAAGATGGTGTCATACATTTTGGGTGAATTAAAAAAAAATGACCAAACGCATATTTATCAATCCACACTAAAAATACAGGCAATGCAAATAGATTTCTATGTCTCAGCATATGTCTTTAGATAGTGTCTAAATGCCTGTCAAATATCTCGTTGATATCTTAATTATCAAAAAAGTTATGCCCAAAAATGATGCTAAAATTGTCAGGAATGCAACACCTTTTTGTGACATTTTGAAATTTCAATATTTTTTGGAGATCTGTGAAATAAAAAATAATGCTTCATGTTGAAAATAAAGACTTTCCTGATAATATTCAAAGTATTGAGTTTTAAATGTGGACTGTCATAACTTTTGTTTAATCAAGTTGTGGTCATGGCTGGTGTTTAAAAAAATGTTATACCATGTCAGGAGTGCAACAGAGTAGTGTTGCCAAAAAAACATCAATTGTAAAATTCTGATAGAAAATTAAGACAAAAAAGAATTTTGGAAGTGTAAAACAATAACTGATATACATTTTAAAACTTAAAAATGTTATATAAATCACAAGCAGTATTAATGAGAGTCAAGTACATGTACTAGTATATGTGCATACCCAAAAATGTCAGGAGTGCAACATTTGATGTTTTGCTCCCAAGCATGAAAAAACTGTTATCATTATATGATTTTCTGATTTTTATTTTGGAAAATAAAGACGCAAGGAACATTTTTACCAAATAGATTTATCAATTACAGGATCTCTCTGTGCTTCAGATCCATATTTCTATGGTCAGGAGTGCAACACATTTTTTAAAAGATTCAAGTTGTGTGACAAAAAGACTTCTATTCATGCTTAGAAGTATTCATTAATTAATAATGATCTTTTTGTATAATTTAATACTAAATTATTGACAGTTTTATTATTAAAATCCTTCCTTTTCAATTTTATCAATTCAGATGTGTTTTTATCTTTTGGTGATTTTTTTTAATGAACATTAAAAATAAACACACTAAAACATTGTCATAAAATTCAAGTAATTCCTCCTCAACTTCACCGAAAGAACAGAACAAGATCTTATGTAATTATCACTTCACAATTCTACTTTAAAGGCCACAATGCTTTTGGTCAGGAGTGCAACAAATATGTTAGAATTATAAATCATCCAATAAGAATAAAAATAAAGAAAAAATGATGAGTAGAATTTTTCTGGTGGGTTACTGTGTTTGTCTTCTAAAGGAAAATATGCTTTAAAATATATTTATCTTCTAAATATACATTTAAGCTAGTTTTTTGGCATAAAATTGAGTATAATTCCAGATAAAATGCGAATTTTAAATACTTTCATCTGTTTTAATTATGAAGTATTGGACTATAAGTATTGCACAATTTCATTACCACTTGATGTTGCCTACACTTTATGAATTTTTGTGTTCTATGGTTTTAATTTTAAACTTTACTGCAGTCAGGAGTGCAACAAAACTGCTTCATAATTACCGATGCTTTTTAACTATCTTTACTAAAAAATAAGTTGAAAAAAATGCTTGATACTATTTGATGTTCAAAACACTATGTCTATCAACAAATTACAGAAATTCTCTAGTCAATTCAGGAAATAGTTTTCATCATTTCACATATATTTAAATACAATTTATATATACTGCACTTTGCAAATAATCATGTTTTAGGGTCTTCAAAATATGAAAAACCTGCTGTAAATGATGAAAAATATCAACACGACAAATTGATTTACAAAGTAAGAATGGGTTATTGTGTGTTATATTTTTAAAACAATGTTAAATAAAATACATATCAGATGTCAGGAGTGCAACACAATAATGTAACATAGGGTCACTTCAAAATCTAGTATTTTTTGTAAGAGAACTCGTATATAACAATTCTTTTTTGGCTTAGATTTAAAGAATTGACTTGAACAGACAAAAAAGTGAATTTTGGGGAATTTTATTGTTTCAAATTTTTTTCATATTATAACTTTTCAAACCAGAATTGAAAAAATAATGTAAAATAACAATCAAAAAGCCAATTTTTTGTCACATGTACAAGAGAAGATACTCATTTATTGTTTAGATTTAATTATTTATACCCCTTTTACCATTTTGAAGCATAAAAAACTATAATTTCTTGTGATTATGTATCTTAGAAAGTCTTTTAAGGTGTAATGATATTTTCTTTTTTCAAAAGAAATTTTACTAATAAAAATTCTGAAACTTTTTAATCCAGTTGTCTATTCTATTAGCACTTCAGGATTATAAACTAGAATGCATTTGCAATATGATGATATAAGTGAAAAATATGTTATAAGTATAGTTGAATTTTGCCAAAAAAAATAAGTTTGGTGGTCATTATTTTTGAATTCACCCTTTTGTCCTATTTTAGCAAATTTAATGTCAACTTTGGCCAGAAGCTATATGATGAAAATATATAAAAGTTCTATGGTTTAAAATGTACTTATCTATATCATATAAAATTATATTTTGGTGACATTTATAAATCAGCACACTTTCAAGATAAATGGTGTCAAATATAGGAATTCCACTACAATAAGCTAAATTAAATGTACAGTTGCGTATTAATTATTATTATACCTCATTACAATTATTCTATACAATACGTCTGATTGGTTCTAGATTATCATGTGACTGGGCCATAAATCTTCATATTTCCCTGTCATTGTCATGCTTTTCATCATATTCAACCTATTTGGAGACTTAGTGCATTTTCCTGCAATAGTTATCATTAGTTCTACGAAAACTCCAGAGAGTAGTAGACATCACAATAGCCTGGTTCACGTCAAAATATTGCTGATTGTTTCATTGGAGTGTGATGTGTCAAGTAACTTTACGATAAAAGAGTATTGAAAGTGAATTTAAGAGTGGGGCCGCATTTGAAAGTTTGTGTTTATTTTAAAAGTTTTTGCATGTTTTGGTATAATAAACAATTTATTGCATGAATGTTTGGGAAATATGAAGATTTATTCAGCCAAGAAATATCATATTCCCCTCCGGCAAAGCCCTCAGGGAATATGATTTTTTCTTGGCTGAATAAATCTTCATATTTCCCTCACGATCATACAATAACTGTATAATATCCAATATGATTTATAAGTGTCTGGTGTTTTTTTAATTAAATCTTGTACCCTTTTTCTAGCAGAGGCTGCCCGATACCTTCCTAGAACATCCTGAATCTGTAGGAAGTGTTGGAGAAATGCCACAAATTCCATCTGAAATCTGTTAGTGTGGATGTACCAAACCGAGGCCATCTGTAACTTGACACTAATGTCACAGTCTCTCACTAGATTAGGATCCGGAGGACCGTACCTGTAACAAACATCATCAAATCACCTGTATCATTATTGTAACAGTTATGAATACAATTGGATATTAAATGTTTGACTTCAATTTCAATTATGAATGGAGATTATAACAAAAGTTTGAATTAATTATGATTATGAATGGAAAGTAAAAGAAATATCTGAATTCATTTTTAATCATTTTAATTTCTTAAATATTAATACTATGTACAATTATCAGTCCTGATCATATTCAAAGGAGTATATGTACATGCTTATTTATGAATTTTTTTTTTGGAAATAGTAAATGGTTTAAAAATAATTCTTACTTGAATATATCAAACACCAGAGCTTGGTCACCCACTGTGACAAATCTCTCCCGATACAAGTTACCATGAGGGGACTTGTCAATCAGTGACAGATTACCCAGCTGTCCTGAGATTGCCATGCATATTCTCATCTCTCAGGCTGACATTAGCTGACAGCAGGTGGCAGAGGATATTTTTTTTAATGCCAAACATGTGCCGAGGGGGTACACATACACATGCGATCCATAAAAACATGTACATGGGTACAGTTTTCCAGGGGCTAATTAATTACACTTCATATGCCCATGGCTCACAAATTATGTCAACAAATTACATGTAATCTGCCTATTAGAGTGCAAATGTACCAAAAATGCACCTGGGGACTCCCCAAATTTTGGCTTGTTTTTTCAAGATTTGGGCCTCATTCACACCCACACAACCCACACCCAGGCCCGAGCGAGCAGGATAAAACACCCAGTAGTCTGTAAATCAATGCATGCCCTAATAAAAATTCACCAAATGATATGGGGCCATTCACCTTCCCTCCGAGATACACACCTTCTTCTAAGGCCTACTGCTTTTCAGCTGAATTTCCTCTGCAACTGACCACGTGTCTTAGTTTCGCATTTACAACTCTGTATATGATAAGCGTCATAGTGACACCTACATGTTGCACATCATTTTTTTCAGCAAGCACTCTGCTACACTGCAAATGTGTCCCATAATTATTCTAATCATTTTTCTACATAAAATATCACATCAAACAGGGGATATCTCAATTTTTTAAGAAATTTGACGGATCTTTAGTACGAAACTATCCCCTGCCACCGCAACTCAACATTGGCTCGAGATAACTCATACTCGGGTTTATTCGGGATTAATGTGATCGAAGCTCTTCACTTTTAGGTTAACAACCGAGTTAACTGAAGGCTCATTAGAAACTGCAAGAATCAACATTAGACAAATTAATAATATGTTTTTGTACATGTAAATGGATAGAAAAAAAATTGAAGTTGGAAATTGACTTTTAAAATACTCCTTTTTATTTGTATTTTATACAAAATATTCCTTATCATTAAATCCACAACTTTTTTCTTATTGTGGCTCTGCCTGATTGTTTTACCTGACAGTGACAGACTGACTATTATCTGACAGTGACAGACTGACTATTATCCAACAGTGATAGATTGACTATTATCCGACAGTGAGAGACTGACTCTCTATGTGACAGATAAAGACTGACTTCTTACCCAACAGTGACAACCCTGGTTGTTTTACGTGAGAACTGATCCCTGACTGGTAATTTACCTGACAGCGACAGGCTTGGATCTTAATTTCTCTACGCTGACC